ATTTTATTTTTGAATTTTTTTGGGAGTAATTCTCATATAGGGCAAAAATCACGTGCTTACAACATCTATTAAGAATGATGATTTCAAGGTTCAACATATTCTTTCAAGTTAATATGGCTGATTTATTTATCAAATCTCTACCAAAAATCCTTTGAAGATGGTGCACAAGATTGAAATGCAAATGCTTAAAGATGTGAATTGATGCTCTCATCAATGGGAGTTAATACGCGTTGCACTCTTTTTCCCTTACAAGGTTTTTTCCCATTAGGTTTTCTTTGTAAGATTTTTAACGAGGCAACCAAAAAGCGTATTGTTAGATATGTGTACTCTTTTTCCCTTTCTACAATTTTTTTCCCATTGGGTTTTATTTAGTTAAGGTTTTAACGAGACACATTATCTGTTGCATAGATATTCAAGGAGGAGTGTTATAAATAAAATTCTATTTAAGGTGAATGTCTATATTTAGAGAGATTTTAGGGTTTATTGTTTGGCGGCTAAGCCAATCTCTCCCTATAAATAGAGGGTTCTATTCCATTGTAATTCATCCCAAAATTCAATAAGAATTTCCTCTCACTCTTTCTCTACAATATTGTTCTTCTACTTTTATTGTTTCATAACAAAAATGAAATGTAAGACTAACTTTTTTACCTTTTGAAAGTAGAATTCTTATTTGATAAAATTATAATAGCGGTTAAATATTTAAAACTAAGAATGAGCTAATATTACAAAATTGCATAAAAGAATTATTAGCTATTTTTATGAAAGTTGAGAGCAAATATAACTCTTTGAATTAACTAATTAGTAAAAAATTTATTTATTTATAAAATTTATCATACATGTAAAGTTATTTTTCAAGTTGACAATCATAACAACAATAACAATAGACTCAGTGTAATTTCACAAATAGAGTCTGGGGAGGATAGTATGTGCAGATTTTACCTTTACCAAGTTAACAATTAATTATTTAAATTAATTTCATAAGAATACCACTAACAGGGAAAGAAATTGACTATAGTATAGTGTTAAGAGTCAAGTTACTAAAAATAAAACTTGAAGAAATAAGGATGAAATAGCAAAAAAATAAAATATATTCTAAATTAAATGAGTTGTCATTAATTGAACTTTTTTTCCCAACAAATTACATCTTCCTATATTTTACTACTATAAAATATTAACTCAACATTAATCATTTTTAGAGTTTACGACATACTAATCAATTTTTTTCTAGGAGCTATATAGGATCAACCACTTCATTTTCAAATCTCTAAAAGATCACAAAAAAAATTATTTATTTTATTTGACAAATCTTTAAAGAATCATGATAAAAGTATTTTCGTATTATTTGTTTGCATTCAATATTAAGTTATTAGAAATAACAATAATTTTTTGTACAATATTCTTGCAAGAAGTTCTTATAACTTACTTTTTCTAATAATTTTTATTTTATAACTCAAACACATTATTTAATATTAATATTTATACTATTATTTAAAATAATTCACTTGTCGATATGAATTCATACGCAAAGTGCGTACCTAAAACTAGTTTTATTTAAAACTCTTAATAGATCTGTATGAATATTATGTAGCAAAGTCTTAACACCATTCAAATATAATAATAAGGCGTAATGACTTCCTGACCACTTAAACTTGTAGGACTTTTGAAAGCCGATACACAAACTTTGGATTTTCCCATTTGAACACTCCAACTTGACAAAATGGGTACTAATAAACACATCCACCAGAGCGTGTATATCAATTGTGCTGACATGTACAACACATCATGCTAAGCTATTTATTACTTGCCATGTGTTATTTGTGGGTCCCGTTTTTAAATACAAAATCAGGAAAAAAAAATTACAAATACAAAAAGAAAAAATGCCTGAAACATACTACCCGACCGCCCCTTCATTGTGGGAGTACTGTGGCACACAACAGAGCGAACTAAGGAAGCGGGAAAGCCATGGCCTTTTCTTCATTGCAATCAACCTCTTCTTCTGTGTTGAACAGAGTCCGATTTTGCCAGCGCTCTTTCTCTGCCAAGCCCTCGTCTTCTTCTTCCCATCGGGCAGTCAAAGACAAAGACAAAGAGAAAATGATGTCTGATTCCGACAGGAAAACGCCTACGATGTCTCAACTTCAGGAATCAGCCGACCACTTTCTGAGATACTCAAAGAGGTGAACAAGAAGGTCCCTGATTCCCTCATCAAGTTTCGCCACGAACCTAATGACTTCTCCGTCAAATATATCCTCTGGCATATTGTGAATAGAATTCTGACCTTAAATGCTCCGACATGGTCTGGTAAAGTTAGTAGCATCACTTACTCATCTGATAGTATCACTTAATTCATGGTGGACACCTGGGAATATGAAAAAATTGGAAAAGTCTTTTTTTCCTTTTTTCTTTTTTTTTTTATTTATATTTTATTCTAATTCTCATGTCAGCACGGTCAAAAATATTTATTAGCAGCCCATTTTGTCGAGTTGGAGTGTTCATGCAAAAAAATTCAAAGTTCAAAAGGCTTTCAGGTTTAACCGGCCAGAAAACCTAAGATAACTGCTTTTTTCCTCTCTGTAAATCACTTCTTTCGGCGAAACAACTGCAGGCTGTACTCATCTCTCTCAAGCCAAAGTTTTCCCTCTTGAACCGGTAAGATTTCAGAATATTTACTGCGTAATTTGGAATTCGGATTCTGCATTTTGATTTAATTTTCAGTTTTGAGATTAGGGTTTAAGAAGACCCCTTTTGAAATATGATTTGATAACAGATGCACTGAGTAAAATCAGATTTACGGGGTCTTATGCCATTATTTGAAACACGATAACAGTGAAAAATTACAGTAAGAAACTGTAATGAAAGAGTTGAATGTATTAATGTATGGTTATTTGCTGGTGCGGCTAATTCAATTTTGGCAAAATCACTTAAAATAACTAGAAATATTAACCTTGGCTTCATTTCCTTTTGCTCGTTTTACCTTTCTCTATTTCTCTGGTGTTGTTGTATTGGATGGGATAAAGGCATTTTCTAGAAGACAAAAAAAAGATGACCAAAATGTCACCTTTTTTGTATAAGCTGGTGTGCACCGCACTAAACTAATCTTACGGGATATCTGTTAACTTCCACCAGCATAGGTATCTGGTAATTCAGATGAGAAGAAATCATGAAATTATCTAGTGTTTTTGCTTCCGATTTGAACCGGAGACCTCATGTTCTCAACCCATCTCATCGACCACTAGGTCCTACCCTTGAGTGCCCAAAATGTCACCTTTTTGTATATATGATTTTTTATCATTAAGTTTGTTCAAATGTTATCTGATGAAAAGTGGTCGAATCTTTACACGTCAATGTTATGCAAATAAAATATTTTGTACTTTTACCTTCTAAAACAAAATATTCTTCAGTATGGTTTCTAAAAATTGTAGTAGCTGGCAAATTCAATAGCCAGTGGTGAAATCAAGAATGTATGCTAGAGGTATTCAAATCAAATGGTAGACTGTAAGCTTGTGTTTTTTAGGTGTGATCTAAGCTAATTTTTTAACCCCCTTTGCCACCAAGAATCTTCAATTTTGTCCAAAGGATTCAACAGTTAATATATAATCAATATGTCCTTTTTGTCCTCTTTGTGCTGTATACTTTTTGCTGAAGTGGGTTCAACTGAACCCCGTCGACTTTACATAACTCCGTCCCTGAACCAGCACTGAATGTATAGGCTTGAATTCTTGTCATTAGAGCAAATTTTTTGAAAGGAAATGTTCATATCTTTCTTATTTATATGTATATCTCACTACTTTCTGTATATAAAGCTGCTTGTGATGGTCAGTAGTTCTATTTGTACATTCGCGTGCCGTTCCTCTTGAATTATTCGTTTTATGTACGTGTTTTATAATTGAACCATGTTTTCTTAGNCCTCTTTTGTATTCTTCATACGGATTGCAATTCTTTTTGTATGTTTTAATTTTTTTTCCTTCTTGATTGTCTCTGTTTCTTACTTTAATTTACATTAGTCGATATGCTATAATTGTTATAATTTTGTATTTCAGATATGGAACAATCTGATGAAAATCAAAGAGTGAGTTGGAGAAATGTCAATGTAGTGAAAACCTTTTTAGAGACTTGTATTGAAGAAGTATCCTTAAACGGGAGACTTAGAAACAGTTTGAAGCCGGATTCATGGAACAAGGTTAAGCTAGCTCTGGAGACTTCTCATGGTTTACGAGTCACTCAGAAGCAGATGAAGAATCATTATGATTATTTAAAAGAAAAATATCAAGCTTGGCTGCCGATAACTAAAAAGACTGGCAATTTTTATGATCCAGCAACCAATTCCATTCGAATGTCTAATGTTGAGTGGGATGAGTACATAAAGGTGAGTTCATTGTCTAGTATATTTTTCTTCTTTTTATGGTAAAAAGTCGGTTTGACGTGTATATTGAAAGCTATGTTGTTGTGACCCTCCAAAAATGTTGTCGCACCCGTGTCGTATCCTCCAAAAACGCATAGCTTTTGGAGGATCCGATACACACCCGCCAGTATTTTTTGAAGAGTCCAGGCAAATATAGATTGAAAATATGATCTTCTATATTTAAATATAGGCTCATCCAAAAGCAAAGACATTGAAGAGCTCACCTCTACCTTTTCCGGATCTTTGTACAAGACTTTTTGAGGATTCTAGTGGAACAGAAGTTCATGGTCAGAGTCCAAGCGGTACAATTCCCGGGCCTAATATGTCTTATGTATCTACTGATAAAGATATAGATACACCTGATGTTGCCGAAGATCTACTTGGTGACAAAAATGATGGAGCTTCTAATAATTCTACGTCTCAATCTTCAGTTCCAGTTGAAAGGAAAAGTTTAGGAATTAAGAGAAAATTCTCATTGTCTCAATTGGAAGTTGATGAGAAGATGAGCATTGCATTGGAGATATTGATTAAAAAAAATAGTGGGCCTGACATTGAGGAATGTATGGACAAATTAGAGGGACTTGGATGGGAAGAACCGTTATACAGCGCAGCTGTTAGTATACTTTGTGAAGGTGATAGTCACAGAAAAGTATGGATGAAAATGATAGAGGTCGACAAATTAGAGAGTTGGATCAAAGTCATGGGGAAAAGGATAGGAATTCTTTGATTTTGCTAATTAGCTAATATATACTTTAGATGTTGATTGTATGGAACCTTTTCTTTCTTGTTTCCTAACTAGTATCTATTATGTTTATGGAACTTTGGGTTACTATAATATGCTTATGGAACACTTTCTGTTTGTGAAATACACTTTTTTCATGTCTTGTTATGCTTGAATAGGTGTAGAATAAATTTTTATAGTCACCTTATTGTTTTGAAAATCCAAACCTAGGGAAGAACCAAAAGTGACTGGTGTGAGCTTTGAATACTGGTGTGACTGGAATTAATAACTTAAAATAGGCATGAAGTTATTACAGAAATTGTTCTTAACATTCATTTTGTATCTCGTTATACCGTAGCTTGCTGCTGAAAGACGTTGCTAGGCTAGCGTGACTCGCTTTGCTCTTTAAGCTCCATCCTGCTTGCTCAAACCTCAACATCTATAAAATAGCCCCGAGTCTTTCTCTTGAAGCCCACGCGAAATCCAATTCTCTTGGAGAAAATACTATGATGGAGCTAACTTTCTGACCAAAGTAATGGACAATTAGATTTATTTTGGTATTATAGCAGTTGAATTTGGTTTGGTTTTCTGATTGGTGTGCTTGTTATTGTCCTTCCTTTTATCTTTCCTAAGTCGAGGGTCTACTGCAAAGTTTCTCTACCTTCTTGAAGGTAAGGTAAGGGTAAGATCTGCGTACGCACTACCCTCCCCAGACCGTACTTGTGGGATTACACTGAGTTTGTTATTGTTGTATAGCAGTTGAATTTGTTTAAACACATAGGGTTGCAAAATGCAACAAATACAGCTGAGTTTGGCTTATTTGTTTAAGTTTTTGCACCTGAACTTTCAAACTCAATGTTATCATTGCATTTGGCATTTGGACATGAAGTGCAAAATCACATTAAGGCCATATGTTAAACCATAGTAAGTATCATTGCATTTGGCCATGTTCATAATAACTATTCCCTCTCGTCTCAAAAAAAGAATGAATCTTTTACTAGTTTTGGGAAATCAAACAATGTTTTGTTTGATCATATTTTTTGCAAGATTTTAAATATTTTGAATTGTTAACTATTGTGACTTATAGTAGTTTTTATCAAATATATAAATTTTATTTCAAAAACTTAAAGAACCTATGTTTGAATTCAGTGTGATTAATTTATTTCACTTTTAACTCTTCTGATTTCTAGCTCCCTCCAAATTAAGGAAGCTTTGTCCAAAATGATCGTTGAGTCATAGTCCAACGAGAGTTTTCTCTAGGAAAACCCCAAATGAATATTACAAGTCTGTCACACTAAATTCTAAATTCAATATTTATATATATTTAATAAATTTCTTAATTTTGGGTTCGACCAAACCCATATTTGGGCTTCTTAATTAGCCGTTCCGCAGTCAAATGCATCTTTATCTTGTGTTTTAGGATGTAAATAAAAGAAAAAAAAATTCTTTTGAAAAACCGAAACATCATTGCGTAGTTCGACTGATTTTGATTACGTACAAGACAAAGGTGGTGGTTTTCTTCATTTTGTATAAAATGTCATACCGTAAAAAAGATAATAGAAATAAAATATTAAATAACACTACATTTTCCACTCTTCTCGTAGTTAATAATTGCGATACCAAATTCCCTCCAATATCAAAAGTACTAATCCTTTTCAATACAAAATTCTTTAGTGTTAATGTGGACGGCAAAGGAAATAAATAGAACGAAACTAAATTATAGTAGAACCTCTCTAAATTAATATTGTCGGGGCCATGAAATATTATTATTATTATTATTATTATTATTATTATTTTTTATTATTATTTTTTATTTTGTAGAGGTATTATTTAATCGATAAAAAAATACTCCCTCCGTTTCAATTTATGTGAATTCATTTGACTGAGCACGGAGTTTAAGAAAAAAGAGAAAACTTTTGATTTTGTGGTGTAAAATGAGGCACATATATTTTGTGTGGCTATAAATCATTGTGTAAAGGTAAATTATTTCCAAATAAGGAAAGTGGTCATTCTTTTTGGCACGGGTTAAAAAGGAAATAAGTTCACACAAATTGAACGGAGGGAATATTTATTAAGGTAAAGAATGTTTTCGAAATTCAATGAAGGTTACTTTTGATTACATCAAAATCATTGTATTTTACTAATTTATGTATTGTATTTACTGAATTAATATAAAAAATAAATTTATTACACATAACGTACAATATATGATGTATGATTCATTGCAATATTTTTTTTTATTAAATGATTCATTGTAATGTTCATTGTTTATGATACATGTTGGATTACCCGGGTGAAAATGATACACGTTCAGAGGTCCTGAGCTTAGAAGAACTTGTAGATACCATTAGAGAAAACAATGTTGATGATGAAGTTGAAAACGATACAATATCTTTGGAACCAGTTACACATAAGGAAGCACTTATCGCGTCTAGAACTCTTTACAATTTTTTGGTGCAGTTCGAGAAGACAACATCGGAACTTTTGGATGCAATAAGAAAAGTTAGAGATGAGCTTCAACTAGATTTAAATTTTACGAAAAAATAAAAAAATACTAGAATCATATTTCACTAAATTGTCTTAGATATTTTTGTAATTTTAAAGAATTATTAATTTATAATATTAATGGGACCATACATTTATATAGGGGTCTTCCGAAAATATATTATCTTTTTGAAATCGGTGATTATTTCCACTGGCCCAAGTCGAGACCGGAGAAAAATATTATTGTTTACCTTCAAAATCGGATAACAATTGAATTTATACGCGGTTTTAAAAGTACGTGTTATAACTTGATACAAATTGAGAAAATAGATTACTATTGAAATTAATGATAACAAAATAAATGCAAACCACACAAATTGAACAACCTTAGCCTTTGAGTTTGATCACCCTCGAGCCAAAAAATGCGTCAAATGTGTTAGAATAGAATAACAAGATGATTAGAACTAGAAATAATAGTGCATTGCTTTTTGGTGCGTATTACAATGCCCTTCACAAATGATCAAACCTCCATTTATATAGTAGGGGAGTCCTTCTCTTGATACAATTCTATAAAATGTAAAAATCTCATGATTTGCTAATTAATCGGCCTCTCCTTGATATTTGTTGAGATTTCCGTCGTGATCTCTAACCGATCGAGGATATCTGGCTCAACAAAGTTCCCTCAATCTTGTTCGGTCCCGGAGTCACAAGCTCAACGATTTAACTTCGTACCTTGGTTCGATATAACCCGGGGTTGAGCTTGGATCTGTCACGTTTCAGTTCGACTGGTCATACAATAGACGGACCCGGTTCCGACCGTATATAATTATCTTAAAGAGCTTATCAATTTACCGAGTATTAATTTAGAGAGGTTCTACTGTATTCGGAAATTAGCGACGAATAAATTTTGTAGTTAAACAAAAAAATTCGTCACTAATCCAATTTAGTGAAAGATTATCGAGAAATTATATTGGCTACAAACTATTTAGCAATAGATTAGCGACAAAGTTCGTGCCTAATTTCAGGCTTTTTTTTTTTTTTTTTTTTTTTTTTTTTTTTGTAGTGAGTCCATCGTCATCTCACGAACAAAAACCACTACTCTATACCTAATTAATTATTATCAAATTATTATAATCCGAAAATGGAGACAGTTTGATAGGCTTATATTCAAACAAAAATGATTTGACAAAAACATCATGTATATATTTTATCAATCTCCTATAGAAATTAAAGGGTGATAACTTAGAGAAAATTTGTAATGGTCATAAAACCAATTTATTAATTATTAATTAGAAATCTTGCGCTCGAATTTTGAGAATGAAGAATTTTTTTATATAGTATACTTTACCCAATTTATTAATTAATCCGACCATTGAGTTTCGGATACTGGATGCCTTAAGTAGAAAAAGAAAACAATTTATTCTAGAAAAAAGTCATTTCCTTGATAAGCTAACAAAAAAATTATCTTTTAGTTCCAAAATTTGATCAAGTTAATTTCGATAAGCACAAAAAAATATGATGGTACAACCATATTGGTGCAAATGATTACAAGCAACTAGGACTATATATAACCTAAACTTGTCAACAAAAAAAAATCAAATAAGTCTCTACTACAAAATAAAATATTATTTTTCTTACCAAAATCGCCCGAAGGCAATCGATTTTGAACAATTACCAATTAAAAACTGATCGAATTAGGTGGGTCGAAAAATACTGGTTGGTAGAAAAAAAAACGACCGATGTCAGTTTAAACGAAAATTTGGACAAATATAGGTAGTTTTCTCCCTTCTTCAAAGATGTTATTAATGTCATTGCACATATCAGCTGGATCTATCCAACGTAATTTGGGATAAATTCTACTAGTTTTCCAGTGTTAATGACATAATTGACCACTTTTTAAATTTTGATTTCAAAGACATTATTAATTAATTTGTTCTAGAATTTGTCTCACTTTCTTGAAAGAAGCTATTAATGACATATATAACTTATGGTCGGTTGGATTCCTCTTCCCTTGTATATATATATAGATTTTTTCACTTTTAGTCCGTGTTAGAAATTATTTATATTCGATAATTGAAAAAATGTATCAAATTTGTATAATTTTTGTATATAACATACAGAATGTTTATGTATACAAAAATATGCAAAAAATATATATTTTTCGACTATTATTTTGAGAGCGCTATACAGTATAATTTTCTGGTTTATATTATATGGACCTGACCATTTCTTAGGCTGCTTAAACGACTTTTCAAATATGGATTTCAAGACATTAATTGCTTTTGATATTCATCTTTTAGAAAAACCAAGAAACTTCTCCATGACCAAGGTTGGATTTTCAATCTTGTCCACTGCAACATGATTGGAATGTACAAAAAAGAAAAAAAATTATAAATTCCCCCCACAGCAAGGGATATGTACTGGTGAAACAATGTTGAACTTAGTACTATTTAAAATGAAAGGAAAATGACAGTCGCTAAAGTCTATATATAAATCACCTTTCCATAAGAAACAGAACCTTATGTTTAATCTTTCATAAAACATTTTACATAAATTCCAAAATTTTTGTTGGTAGTATATCTGAAAAGAAAATCAAATATAAGGGTTTCCTTTGTCATGCAAATGAATTACATACCAGCAGTATTAGAACTATTCTC